ATATTAAGTGGAAGATTATTCCAAAGACAACATATACGAATAAAAAATGAATTCTTATAAGTTTCTGTCCGGCTATGAGGGACAGTAAGCGTTAGATGGTCAACGTTTCGAAGAGGTCGGTTACAAGAGCGAAATGATACATAATCTAAGATATTTACACTACACAAGTTCTTATAACATTTAAAGAAAAACACTAAATCAGCAATTTCTCTACGATATTGCATCGGTAATAAATCTAGCTAATGTAAACGCTCATGTTCAGAGAGATCTCGACCAAGAATTAGTCTGGTAGCCCTGCGCTGGATTTGAGCTCTAATTCAAAAATATTTCTCTGTGTATATGGAGACCATACTACGCTTGCATATTCAAGGCGTGATCTAACCCATGTTATGTAAAGCTATTTCTTAGTTTTCATAATTGAAATGTCCTTACATGTCCGATAAAGTAAGTTAAGCATTTTTTTGCGCTTTAGAAGAGATATAGTTGATATGATCATTCCAGCTTAAGTCATATCTGACAAAGACACCAACTAAGGTCTTTCTCAACATTCACTCGCTCTAGCTTAATCCCTCCAAGAAAATGATCCCTGTCAATTACCGGTTTAATACGAGCCACCCTCAGGACCTTACACTTAGTGACATTAAAAGTAATTCCCCACTTACATGACCACCTGTATAACTTATTTAAGTCGTCCTGTAGTTTATCCCCATCCTGCTAACCAAGGATTAAGCGAAAGCATTTGGAATCATCCCGCAAAAAGGGGCAATGATGTATATTTTGAGATTACACTAGGCAGATCATTGATAAAAATTACAAAGTGGCCCCAAAATTGACCCTTGAGGGACCCCAGGTGTAATAGGAAGAAAATCTGAACTAGCATTATTTAATACAACCCTGTGTCTCCTGCCAGTCAAATATGATCTAAACCACGACAACATTGAACCTCTGATGCCAAATCATTCAAGCTTGAACAACAGTCGTTCATGCGGATACCTTACGTTTCATGTTGGATAACTTACGGAAAAATTCAATCAAAGATTTCATTATACACTAGCCTTTCAAGTACTTTAGACAATACATCTAAAAGCGATATACCTCTATAGTTGGTGGCATCTGCCTTGGAATCGCACTTATGAATAGGAACTAAATTGGCATCTTTCCATTTTTCACTGTAAATACGAAAGATAATAGACTGACGTTTCGGACGTTAGTCCTTCGTCGGAGTCAATGGGAGAAAGAGAATGATGGAGGGGTTTATAGCGGAGCTCCCGCGCGGGCTGAACGCGGAGCCCCATACTTAAGAAAAAATGGTAAACCATCGAGTTGATTTTTCATGGCTTGGCTGACGTCACTTCCGTCCGTCCGTGTACGCAAGAATTCCGATTGGCTGGTTAGATTATCTTTTTTTTTTTTGGCGGGAATGTCAACGCGTTGCAACATCCGGGTACATATAAAGGTACACACGTACAAATATGTGTACATACAATCCGGCTATTAAAATTTTGTAAAAAACGTTTTTACACCTGTTATTACGTATAGAAATACCGAAAGATAACACAATTTTTATTCAAGCTTATGTTTATATTTATATTTACTCTATTTACGATGGAACCCCTTTCCGAAATCGATATGTCGAAAGAAAGCTCAGAGGAGAATGAAGCCAAAAGAAAGGCCAGAAGTAAAAGAGTTTTTTCGGAAGAGGAAAAACTCTGGAGGCGTGAAAAAGAAAGGCAAAGACGAAGGAATCTCACCAAAGAAACTCAAAAGTTTTAATATTTCTATAGATAAGCTTAATTTATTTTAATGCTGGAGGAAATATAACATGAAGAGAATATTACAACAAATATTCGTCCTTTGTTTAGCTTTGTAAATCATTAACAATTCGGTTGTTTTTAACCAACTATCATATGTTTTTCGTTAAAGAAAAATTCAGCTTTGTTTGCCTCCTATCGCGGGTCCCATCGGCAAAACAAAGCTGAAGACTTTCATTCAATAATTTTATATCTTTCTACAGATAATTTATTTATATATTGAAAGAAATGTAAAATTACACCAACCATTCAACTGTTTATGAAGTTGTTCGAGCTAGCCATGATTATACAAATGAGCTTAAATTTGTGTTGTTGAGAGATGATATTGTATAAAGACCT